GAAGGAGACTCACCCAGTTTTCGCCAGTTTCTAACCCTATCTTGGCAATAGCCTCCTTTAAAGTTTGGTTCATCCTTTCTGCCTGGCCAGAACTTTGTGGCTGATAGGCACAGAGTAACTTCCAATTAATGTGTAAAGCCTGTGAAACAAGCTTTGTAATCTGGGCTATAAAAGCCGGACTGAAAAAAAAAAAAAAAAGCCAGACTGTTACCAGACCCCAGAGTTAAGGGATGACCAAATTGTGGGACTATCTCAGATAGGAGTTTTTTTTTTAACAAGTTTCAGGGCAGACTCAGACCCTGTGGTGAAGATTTCTGGCCATCCTGTGAAAGAGTCCACCAGCACTAGCGAATACCTGAGTCGGTTTGGCCCAGATTTCACCTCTGTGAAATCTATTTCCCAGTGTTCCCCAGGTGACGTACCTCTGGCTCGATGGTGGATCTCTGGTAGATTTCTTTTTGGATTTACCTGAGCACATTGTGGGCTCTTCTGACTTATGTCCTTGGCCAGTTGGTTTAGTTTTGGAATGAAGTATGATTTCAGACAATTTATTTAAGTGAGTAGTGTGATAAAGTAAATGTACCAGTTCACGGCCAAGCACCTCAGAGAGGAGGGTCCAGGAGTCTGGCAATTTTTGTCAACCGGAAGAAGTCCGGGAGGCCCAAAGACTTTGTGCCACCAGGAGGTCTGAACCTGAATAAGATGGTTTGTCTAAAATCCGGGTGGCAGAACCGGCAGGATCTCTAGTGATCCCACTGGTTTTCTTGCTACTTTTCAGGCCGTAGAGTCCACCAGGGTATTTCCTTGGGCCACCTGGGAGTCATCTTTTTGGTGTCCTTGATAGTGTATAACCGCTACTTGTCGAGGCAACCAGACTGCAGCCAATAAGTCTAAAATTTCTTGAGTGTTTTTAATCTTTTGTCTTCCCTTGGTTAGGAGTCCTCTTTCTTGATATATGGCCCCAGGTACATGAAGGGTGGCAAAGGCATATCTACCATCAGTGTAGATGTTTAGTCTTCTGCTTTTACCCCCATCACAGGGATTGGGTCAGCGCTATCAGTTCAGCCCGCTGGGCTGAGGTTCCATGACCCAAGGCTTGTGCCCAGATCACTTCCTTTTCGGTGACCACAGCTGCCCCCGCATACCTGACTCCATCCTGGACATAGCTGCATCCATCAGTATAGAGCGTGATGTCCAGATCTTGGAGGAGGACATCAGTCAAGTTACTTCTCAAGCTAGATGAGACGTTTAAAATGTCCATGCAGTCATGTACTGGCAGCTCAGGATCATCATCCTCATCCTGGAGGAGGGTAGTGGGGTTTAGAGCTAAAGTAGGCAAAAAACGACATGGGTGGGGTCTAAAAGCAGGGCCTGATATTGTACTATCCTGGCATTTGACAGTCAATGATCAGGGGGTCTTTTTAACAGGTTTTCCACTGCGTGAGGGGCCACAATTTGAAGTTCTTGACCAAACATCAGCTTTGTAGCCTCTTTTACCAGGATAGCTGTGGCAGCAACGACACACAAACAGGCCAGCCAGTGGCAGTTGTATTGAGCCGTTTGGACAAGAAAGCCTCGGGTCACTTCCAGGGTCGTAGATATTGAGTAAGGACTCCCTTTGCTATCCCTTTTATTTCTGCCACATGGAGTTGGAACAGTTTAGTCAGATCTGGAAGAGCTAGAGCAGGGGCTGAGATTAGGG